ACCATGAACGCGACACTCCGCGTTGCACAGAAACCACCAAACCAAAACGCGGCACGTTTTTTCAAAGTGCATCTAGTGGTGCTAGTAACAGTGGTCCTATGATAGCAACTAATGTCTCTCTCAACTCTGAAGCGTAAACAGAGACAAAACGGTCATTGGTCTTGTGGAGCAGATGCGCGCATTCCAAGTCAAGCTGGACCTTTTCGCGGCCAACTTGAGTACGGGTTGGATGCTGCATTTTCCGACGCTCCGCAAACACATCACATCCCCGGCACAAATCACGGATGTGATGACGGATTTCATTGCGAGGTTGAAAGAGAACCTTGCCGGTCGGTTGGATGGACTTGCTCTGCCCACAGAGGTGATGGGCTTTGCCAGAGACCCCTTCACTGTTGCAATAGAGGGGGACGTATCCACCAAAGCAAAGGAGGTGGTCCCCTCCATCGACGAGGGGACATTTACACTGGAACTTATTGACATGCATTCATCCGTAACCATGGCACAAGAGCAGCGCACTAACTGGCCAGCAAAGTTTTGGAGTGATGTCAAAAAACAGCAGTTCCCTAACGTTCAGAAAGTAGCGATCTGTGGGCTCAGTATATTTGGATCAACATACAAATGTGAATCAAGCTTTTCACACATGAACTCAATACAAAGTAGCACTCGCTGCTCCCACTGACAGCACTCTTCACCAATGTCCAATTTTGATGTGCATATGTCATATGTATCCAATTTGATTTTGTATGTGAGGACATAGTTTGTGTCTGGTTCAAAAAAATTAACCCGAATATTGTACTTCTAAAGCAAACAAATGTAATGCTACAACCGTGCACTTTTTTTTTTATGCACTTTGAGATGCCTCCGATTTTGTTAAATTAAGGCTAATTAGTTGTGTTTTTATGCACTTTTTGACATACCTTTGTTAGATGAACAATGAATAAAAATTGCATGTTTTTCATCTCAATAATATGTGTTGGTTTAAAATGTGTCATTACCCGTTTTTACAGGACGCTAAATGTCTGGCCCAGCTGAATTTTATAGTTATAAAATCTGGCCCAACTGAATGTGTAATTGAATAGCCCTGCTCTACCTGCTCCTCCCTTACCTCAGGCAGCCAGCCGTGTTGGTGAGGGCCGTCTCCCACTCTAGGTGTCTGGGCTTGCAGTTCTCCTCCCCCCCTCCCGCTCCGTTGCTCCCTCGCTCCCAGCCAGAATGGGGCACCATCACCTCGTCGGAGAGGGCGTGGAGTGCGTGGTCCACAATCTCCATCTTCACCGAGTCGTGAGACGACAGGTTCCACAGCGTCCCTGGTGAAAAACGGATAATATTGAGTTATACTTTATTTAATAGTTATATTTTAGAGAGTTCTTCTTTTGTCTTTTGGCATTATGTTGGCTTTCATGGAAAAGTAGCACAGTAATACCATGTTTTGTTACCTTCTAGGAATTAAGCTTCCCAATAAAGCATTTAAAACCTGTTAAACCCCACGGCCCAGCGGGCGGGGGCCAAACGCAACATCTTTCAAGAAACAGCATCTGGGGGCTTCTTAACATTTAATAAACTATGAATGTGTCATGCCCACTTAACAGCTTAGCAAGCTGAGATTCCACAGATTCCAGACATATAAGTATCATCACTGAGCGATCAGAACTCGCTACAGGGGAAGCAAATATAGACATCACAACACGTAGCATTACGGAGCAAACACAGGTGAAATTCTTACCTATGCTAGACCCTCCAGAAAAACGCGATTCTGCGATCGCAGAATTTGCCGCATAATCAGCAAAATGGCGCAGATTTTTAAAAGGCCGCATATTTATCAAAAGGCCGCATAATCCCCGCATTTTTCCACACAAAGTTGAGAAAAAAAAAAGTTAACTCGTCTTGACAAGTAGTGATGATGATGATGACGTGCTCGCGCATCACAGAAGGTAAACAACACCGTAGAGTGAACGTGTGGAACTCACACGAGAGAGAAAACACCAAGATGAAAACATCTGATCCATCTCATTTACCGACGAACATTTCTACTAAAGACCGGGCAAAGCAGTACCCCGATGTCTTTCACGAAAGTGGGGGGAAACTATTCTGCACCCCGTGCAACTGTGTGTTGGAGCATAAGAGAAAATCGACGGTGACGACCCACTTTGATTCATTCAAACATTCAAAAATGCTTTCTGCTGCTGCGGACAAGAAAGCCAAACAACTCACGTTCACCGAGGCATCAACCTCCAAAACCCTTTCGAGGGCTACAAGAAACGAAGTGAGTAGCCTACAAGATTGAAGCTGGTCAGATAACGAACGAGTAAATGAAAACAGAATGAGGCGGAGAAGTGTGTGTGTGAGAGAGAGAGTGTGATTAAAATAGCCCCATTGCTTTTACAATAAATAAACATTGAATGTGTTTAATTGAATAGTACAGAGGTTTAACGTTAGTGGCAGGTTGTGTGTGAAAGAGAATAAATAAGACAGCCCAATATTTTAAAAAAAAATCTATTCTTTTTCGCAACTTTCCGCATATTTCGCAATTTCCCGCAATTTAACCGCATAAAATCACATAAAAACCCTGCATGTTTAATCGCATAATCAAGGATTTTTGCCCGCGTTTTTCTGGAGGGTCTAGGTTATGGTGATCAATGCGGTTGGATGGGTGGTTCCCATGCAAATGAGACCAAAAAGTGCCCTCAGAAGCACAATTACATAGTATGTGTTGTAAATGCTAAGCTTTTTGTATTAGATAGAGGACAACATGCCATGCATATAACTTTTAAGGAGAAGTAACGTGTGAGTAACTTCCACTTACCTATGTAAAATAACTATTTCAACGGTGATGCTGCATTAAGTGTTTTCTTTACTAAAATGTAACTTCCTCTATCTTGTGTTGCGTGAAATGTTTCTCCTCTAGCAGCCCAATCCAGCCGTCTGTTCCAGAGTTTTCCCAAGGATCTTCTGCAATCTCTGGCTGTGGAAAACATCACTGGCAACTTCCACACATGGAGTCTGTCTCTACAGGTATTTCCTGCTCCCCTTCTCTCCTCATCAGCTGGCTTGGTTATTATTATATTTGGTGGTAATCTTGTAATTCTTTAAGGTCGGGATGTCAGTAGGGTAAGTGCTTTCAAATTGGGGAAGCTGCGTCTTCCTAAATATTTCTAGAAACATTTTCAAATAACATATTTAGGAAACTCAAGGATAGTATAAGGGGGAAGTTCATCAACCTGGAAAACCTACCTTGAATCCAGGCATACCTATGTATGGTTTGTATGCGACCGTGCTTATAATCGATAGTCTTAGCATTAACTGTTAATGCTAGATGCTGTATTTTGGTGCCGTAGATTAATTTGTTTCAAATTGTCATAACCATACATGCAGTCTATGGTTATAACTCACCCTTTAACTGAAATCACTATATGTCCGTTAACTTGACTAGATAAGCATGATTCATCCACTGTGTTTGTTGAATTGTCAACAGATTTTGGAATTAAAAAAACGTTTTAAACCAACAATCTGATAGGCATCATCAGCTTTCAAGTGATTTCAAAACGCCCTAACAAGTATTTCCTAAAGTTAAGTAAAGTCGATATTCAATCCCTGCCTTGAACCAACAGAACTACAGCCGAAATGCCAAACTGAAGAGGTTCTACAAGGTGCTGTCCACTAACAACGATGGGAAGAAAGAATTCATCTCCACCATGGAAGGTACCATTTCTCCTGACTGCTGTATCATTCATGTTATCTCTATACCTTCCAAAAGCTAATGCAAAGTGGCAGAAATAGCAAACCCTTCATGACTGAACCGGTGTTGTTAATGTTAAGAATGATGAGATTGAAGCATATTATTCAGATTCCGATGGGATTGGAGATTATGAAATATGGATAATGAAGTCGGAAGTTTTCCAAAATGATTGATAAGAATGTTTTTTTGGAATCTTTCTTCTTTTTCACTTTTTATTTATTGACTTTGTTCGCCCATACATGTAATTTAATAATAATAATAATGCATTACATTACATAGAGCGCTTTTACAGGTGCCCAAAGCGCTTTACAATTACATATTACACATATTAGACAAATTACTGTGGACATTACCCACAGGAGCAGATGCGGGTAAAGTGTCTTGCCCAAGGACACACACGGCCTGACGCAGTGGCGGCTGAGGCGGGTTTCGAACTGGAGTTCACCAACGCCCCTTGATCTGATGATCAACGCTCCCAATCGTCCCAATTTTTTTTTAATACCATTTTAGCATTTTAAATTATTATTTAACTTATACATTAAATAAATAATAAAAAAGTATATTAATAGTTAAATTAAAGCAGTTTGCAAGACAGTGATATATAAAGGGGGTTAGGGGAGGAATCTTTGTCTGTTGACAATGTATCTTTTTTTCCTCAGCCCATCGATACCCATTCTATGCCGTGCAGTGGCACCCAGAGAAAGCTCCCTTTGAGTGGGTGGATAAGCCGGGCATGACTCACTCCCCCACTGCCATAAGAGTCTCTTTCTACACCTCCAGCTTCTTTATCTCTGAAGGTAAAGGCTTTTTTTTTTTTCATTTCTTTGGTGCCATTTTGTTGAATTATAGAAGTCTGACTAAATAAAACCCACAAATAAATAAACCTGCAAAAGGAAAAGCACTCGATAACCAAGTTGTTTTTCTCTCTTTTACTCCTTGGACTCTTTCTCTTATCCAGCCATGAAGAACCGACACCATTTCCCCAGTCTGGTGGAGGAAGAGCGAGCGCTCATCTACAACTTCTCTCCTGTCTTCAGAGGCATGAATTCCATCTTTATCCAGAACTATTACTTTGACTAATTCACAGTACCTAAGATGGAACAGACCTGGGGCTTAGTTTAGTCAGAACTCGTTATTATGAGAAAATCAACTTTTTAATACCGAGCTCACGATCATAAGCGGATTTGAAAAAACGGGAAACATGCAAAAACGAAGCTTAAAGGTTCCATGTCATGGCCATTTCTACTGATCATAATTCCATTGTTGAGGTCTACTAGAATTGGTTTATATTGTGCAATGTTCCAAACTCATTGGTTTCTCATACAGCATCGCTGTATAGTATGTGTATTTACTCTGTCCTAAACGGCTTGTTGGAGCTCCTGCCCCCCCCTCCCTATGAGTCCAGTGGCCGTCTGCGAGACAGCGAGACACAGCGTAACCCAGCCCGAAACCAGCCCGAGCACACACACACACACCCGCAGCCTGGCTGGGAGTTTATGTGTGTGCTCACACACAGACTTGAAGCCTCGCCGCGTCCCACCGTCTCAGGTTGAGAAATCGGCGGAGCTGCAGCTGAGATAATATTTAGTGTGTGAGTGTAACTTAACGGCTCTGCAGACGTAATGTTACGTTACGTCACTATACCCAAATACGTACTGTACCCAGGAAGAGAAATCTCCAATGAGGCGCTCTGGGGCAGCATAGACAGGTCTTTTCTGTGTTAGAGTTTTACTCGCTACAGGGTGTACTTTGAGGGTTTGTGACTGCAGACCGTTTACATGCATAAAAAGCTACATAACACACAAGGGGACGGGTAATAACCGGAAAAGCATGACATGGGACCTTTAACATGGCATTAGGTTTTGCTTATAGTCTACCCATTTGGCAAACTGAATTTAATAAAAATAAAAATAGTGATAAAGTCTTGAATACCAAATACTTGAAAGACATGACCTACATTTCAAATGTTGTCAATTGTCAGGGTAGTCTTTTGTTGCAGAAAGTCTAATTTACCAATAATGATATCCCCATTTTTTTAAACTACTTAATTGAATACCTTTGCTGGAGTTTGCCTCCATAATATCCATTGGTTTGCTACAGTAAATAATAGGAGGCTCAAACTGAGTGATCAGTGACAGTTTTGCAATATGTCACACATACCCACTCTGGGACCAATAATTCCTGAATCAATGCCCTGTTTACGTTTTATTCAGGGGTTTCTGAAGACAATGTAGTCAATTAAACTCACTCACATGCGAAACAAGTGTACCTTCGGTGAGCAACAGCATCATGCTCAATCTTGTGTACATTTTTGTATGGATAATAAAAGTAGAATGTAATACCTTGGACAGGGGGTTAGGGGAGGAATTCCTTACAGGGCATGCCCCATTATGTGATTATTCTCTTAGATACCACTTTAAAACACCTGGACTGATGTTGTCAGTCTATAAATTCAAAACAGTTTTTGACTTGAACCGAACAGAATTTCAAAGGATTACTATCGCCTACTTTGCCGTCTTTAGCTCCTAAAAGTCCAGGGAAAGAGCTATAAAATAATTCCACTTAAACATAGATATCCAATAAACACCTCCTAAATTGCCATGTTGTGTCGATCATCAGGTAGAGATACATGATATGATTGTCTTAAACCATTTTTTTATCCAGAAAAAAATGTTGTCCTTTACCTCTATGTATTATTTGTATTCCACTGTATGCACATGTTACTAAATATAAGAAATGTGTGTATGCCTGTCAATGATAAAGGACAATGTGATTTCCAACTTGTGTCTTTGAAGAACTACTATCATGCTATGACTTGGATTTGTAAACTATATAGATGAGTCTTGAGAAGAGTTCATCTTTAAATGATTGTATTCTTGTGCATCTCTGTGGGCATTCAACATTTTTATTCAACAGAAAATAGTATTTTGTATATCACATTGTCAGAGTAGTTACAATAACTCCAAAGATCATCAGCATTTGAATGCGTATATTGTTTACATCGAAACAATTGTTTTATTTTTACACAGGGCCAAAATAATGACATTGACTTCATTATATATACTTTTTGTAATTCCCAAATTATGATCATGAAAGTATATCTAGTCTAATCTAAACCTGAAACATTTGAGCCAGACTTGGGGTTTTAAAATGACAGAAAAAACGTTCTTTATAGGAAAATGTGAATTGTATTGAGCAATTTACAATTGTTCAATTTTGAAATGTAACTATACGTGTGTGGCATGGCATCATAACATTAAGGCATGTTTTACATGTTTTTTTACAATTAACAATTCAAAATATATTATACCAAATCGATAACAGATATTTATGTTTTATCAAGTAAACTAAAACAATTTATAAACTGAATATATATATATATTTCTTTTTTTGCTGTTTGGTTTACATTTTGCTTACCTCCATTTAATCCTAATGTTTTATTTTGCAAGACAATCCCCCTGTAAACATGCAGCCACAACAAGTACAAATAAATATTTGCTTTGTTAAAAAAAACAAATGATGAGCCCTGCGAACTACCTACTTGTCCAAATGATTTGGGTCCTTTCTGTATAACATGTACCAGTTCAACACAGTGGCTTTGGCTATATTGATTGTACACATTTGTTGGTCTGACCATGTGATGATCAGACAATAAAGAGAGTCAAGTACACCTCAGTGCTTCCAATATCCTTTGTTTCCTCTGAAAAGAAGAAGCATGCAGAGTTTGTGTTTACTGTACACCCCTAACATCTGCACTTTATCTGACTGACAGAGATAATGGGATTTTGCGTTGTGTGAAATGATTACTTTTCACCACGCAGCCTTAACCTGCTACAAAACAGCTATACGAGTTGAGCCCCAAGCCTGTTTTTCACGCCTCAGGCTCGAAAATTACATTCCCAGAATAATTGACTATATCTTCACTTCTAAAAGGGGTACATTAATTATCTTTTTTCTCAAATCAATCAATCAATGTTTATTTATATAGCCCAATATCACAAATGTTACATTTGTCTCAGTGGACTTCACAGTTTGTACAGAATATCAGTATGACAATACCTGTCCTTAGACCCTCACATCGTACAAGGAAAAACTTCCAGAGAAAAACCCCACAGTTTAAAGGGGAACATGGGAGAAACCTCTGGGAGAGCAACAGAGGAGGGATCCCTTTCCCAGGACGGACAGACGTGCAATAGATGCCGTGTGTAAATCGAAGAGGTAATACATTTTACAGCGTAGGTAGACCAAATGTTTGGAAATGCATGTGTCTATAATAAGACACGGTACACTGTAACAAATAAGATTGGCTGCAAAGTTTTCCAGGTCGGATGTGTAAGACTAAAAACAAGGCTTTCAAAGGAGATATAATTACATTTTGGTTTAGTATTGATAAGTAAACTTGAGTCAACGAAGTTGACAATGATAAACCTGTGTGTTAGATGTAGAAAAGTCAGAATCAATATAGAATATTTTTATTTTAAAGTAAATTCAGATTGAACATAGTAAAACAAATTAAATTAGTGCATGTCCGTCCAAAACAAATACATTACTTATAGTGAAAACCACCCTTGAATGATGGGATAGTAGACTTAAAGCTTTAGGAATCCAAACCATAACATATAATAAGTACCCTGTATCAAGATTGATGCGAAACAAGTGATATTTGATCTTTTTAGAGAGATTTAGAAAAAGAGACCCACTTCTGAGGTCATTTGGTGCATTTTCCATATCTATGGCCCCCCTTGGTCGATTTTGATGATTGACACCTCTTTTTAACCGTTAGAGCCAATAGAATCGAGGGGAAGTTCCTAAAATCCATCTAAACATTACCCATTGGTGAATGAGTGATGCATAGCCAGAATGCCCAAAACCCGGAAGCTGTCATACACTCTCGTTGATGACATAAATATGAAGATGGATTATCAGTAATCATTTCAAAGGCACACAGACACATTGGATTAACCATTGGATTAACCTTCAGCAGCGTTTTTTATCGTTTTAATGCCATTGAACACAACTTTTGATCAGAAACAGCAAAAGGTAAGACATAGCTCCCTTGTTTGCTCCGTAATGCTACGAGGTGTGATGTCTGGTTTTGTTTCCCATGTTGCGAGTCCTGGTCGCTCAGTGATGATACTTATATGTCTGGAATCTGTGGAATCTCAGCTTGCTAATCGATATCTTGTTTATGCAGATCCAATAAGTAATAAGGGTATTTTACCTTGAGTTCTGAGTTCAATTCTTTTCGCTCAGGGCTAATTCAGAGACTATGTTATTACCCTTTTGTTTCGTTTAGCTAAAGATGGTTAATATTGTCTGAAAGCTGAGTTTCTTCCCGTTAAGTGAGTATAACACATTCATAGTTTATTAAATGTTAAGAAGACCTCAGACGCTGTTTCTTGCAAGATGTTGCGTTTTGCCCACCGCCCGCGGGGCCTTGGGGTTTAACTTCAAGCGGCCAATTATTTAGTCATCTCTGCCCTGTGAAAGTCTCTGAAAATAAAACACAGCTCATTGTTCTGCTTTGTGACAATGTGTTAGTTAGCTCCTTTAATTTAGGGAGTAAGATAATTTTCTCACAGTTAAATGAACCCAAAAAGACCTTGCAACTGGATAGCAAGAATAAATACTTAAATTGTAACATCAATTTAAAAAAAATTGTTTCTCATAATGTTCAGAATGTTTGTTTCCTTTTCCAAAGTCAAGATGATCTGAAATGTTAATGTTGAAGCCTTTTGCTAAAATAGTTTACAATATATTTTCCCCATCCCCATCAATGTTTACTCAACACTCCATAATCACTAAGTAGGACAAATAAGATTTCTTTCAAATTACCAATAACACCTGAGTTATCAATATCAGTAATAAAGTATTCAGACCCTTTGCTATATGAGACTTGAAATGTATTTATCTCAATAATAAATAAATGTATTTGATTGAAAAACCTAACCCATACATGACAAACCCGTCTAAAAAAGGTCCACCACTGGAAGACTTTAACAACAAAGAATTATATAAATAATCAGCTGCATTGAATGTTTCCTAGAACACATATCCCCATAACGTCTTAAGTGGAAGAAGTTTGGAAAGCACCAGGACTGAACCTAACCCTAAAGCTGGTTGGCCCACACAACTCAGGAGAGCTTGATGTGGCCCTGCAAACGATCCAGGACCTTGGATGTGAGAAACTCTCAGAACTACAGCCGTAAGAACCAGTGTTTGGTATATAATAACTAAAGAAAGGAAGCCGCGACAACTACCATCACTGCAACCCTCCAATCTGAGCATTATGGCGCAAT